CCGCCTGCCCCCCTGCAGCGTGTGCTGCACCGGCCCTCCCGCCTGCCCCCCTGCAGCGTGTGCTGCACCGGCCCTCCCGCCTGCCCCGCTGCAGCCCTGCCAGACATGCGGCAGCACAAGGGGAGCTCCCGCTGTCGCCTGCACAGCACCCGAGCCCCCCCACTGCAAGGCTGCTCAGGCTGCCTGTGGGCCGCCAAGTGCCCCTGCAAGAGCCACGCGCAGGTTTCCAAGAACATGTCACCCAATGTCACCATCAYGGGCAGCAAGGCAAATATTAGAGCTTTCGCTATGGCTCGCTCACTCTCTAATGACACTGTGGCTGCCTGTACCTTCTCTTGGGGGAAAACAGCCCCAATAGCCTTAATCACACACACACACACACAATATATRTAATATCCAACCTGAATCATAATTAATTCTAGTCAATACATTCATCTTAAAGAGTTAAGCATTTTCCTTTTCATTTAGTGACAAGCACAAGTATTGAAGTGTATTCCTCACATCTGAAGAGCACCATTAATCATCTTACTGAATAAATCCAGTAACAGAGRGAGAAAACAGTTCTTCCCATCAATGTGTTTTGCTTACCTAATACTGATTTTTCTCTTTTGTTTCAGAGTCCAGTAAAGAGCAGTTTGCCTACACAAACATTGCGGAAGAGCTGGTTAGACTCTTCAAGAAGCAAATAGAACACGATAAGAAAGAGATGATTTTTGAAGTTTTGGCTCCCCTGGCAGAAAACGGTGAGAACTGGATCTTATTCTTTACAGTATTTCCAATTCCTTCCCTCATACGCACTTCGGTGCTACAGCGTCACTGGCCCCGAAGTTCGGAAGCCCCCTGGCCGACCCGGCCCTTGTGACCACAGAGCCGGGGTCACCGGAGCGGGGATGTGACAGTCACCTGAGCAGCAGCCACCGAAGGCTGAGGCTGTTCCTGCCATTCCGCTGTATTTGACTTCCCTGGCTCTCCAGTGGGAATTTTAATACCAGCTTTTTAGAGGTCTCTGCCAGATTCCTCTGCAAAATGATGTGAAGAACAAAAGTGCCCTGGAGTGCCTTTATGTAATTATTATTCCCTGATGACATGTTAGGGTACTGCATAATTGCTATCATACCTATGCTTCATATTAATGTATACTAATAACCAAACACTATCCTGTATAACTATTAAGATCTGTGCTTTTCCTGGGCATCTYGTTTTTATCCTATGTTTTGAGGAAGGGCTGCTTGTTGGAGAAGTCTTCTCTGAGCCTAAAACTGGCGATCACTCCTCAGAAGTAGCCAGAAGGTTTCTCTGTGGAGTGTAGAGGACTGTTTCCCCCTAAAGCTCCCACAAGCTGCTCTCATAGCTCTGTAGTGCCTAAAGAATGACAGAAGCAGCAGAGCAAATGGCTCCAGCTTCCACAGGGCACTGCAACACCGATAAATCAGCCACTTGTTCATTATCGAGCATATTAGAACCACCAACAGTTTCATTTCCTATGGATTTTTTTTTTTGCTAGAGATATTGTGATTGCCTGGCTAAGATCAGGACGCTCTCTGCACTTACCATTCTTTGAGACACTGAATAAAGTGAATCTGGGTCTTTGTTGGCATTTATTATTAGCCTCAGGAGGTTTGAGCAGTAAATGAAAATGATGTGTGCAGGATCATCTCTTCCAGATGAGCTGTTCCTCCCAAACTAATTCTGGGTGGTTTGTATTAWTTAGCACGTGAACTCAAAAGACGCTGAGAAATGGGAGCTAGCAGGTGGACTTGGCCAAGGCTGGGGAGGGAAGCAGCAAACCCGAGTGCAGAAGCCGCTCAGCGCTCGACTGCTCTGCACTTTGCCCTCCTCGCCCCAGCACTGAAACCTCCTYGCAGGCAACAGAAGAGAACTGTACATCCCAAAGATTTAGGTTTCATCCTATTCTATTTGGTCTATGTCTGCCCGATTTACATAATATATAAACCTGGACAGATTAACATTTTTAAAAATTAAAGCCAATGTCAACTTTTAGCAATGATTGTCTTTTGTCATAAGCGGTATGTAAAAATAGAATTCCATTCTCCAGTCCTAAAATGCGTATTTTGCCAAAATACATTATTGTCCATGTATACGGTTGCTCTAAAACAGTCCCATCCTTTGAGATCGGCAGAGATTTGAGCACATTTTTTTTTTTTGAGTTTGACATACTTCAATTCAATACTTAATTGTTCTTAGGCTATGTTTTATAGCCATAATCAACCGCGATGGGTTTGCTGCTGCTGAGCCTAACTCAGCTGCTGGCCTSTGAGGAGGCCGCCAGCTGAACTCTGCTGCTGGGGATCCGGGGCAGACTCGAAGCAGAACAAGCTTGGGTGCCCAGACTGCTGAGCCRCTTCTGACTACGTAATTGGCAATAAGTCAACAGACAAAAACATTTAAATGAGGCATTTGCCGTCTGCTTTCTTTTTGTTAAGACACTGACACAGCGATTTCACTTCCCAGCATACCTACAACCTGGTGTTTTCTAATACAAAAAGTGGGGGAACACCCTATTCCTGACCAGCAGCTAGTGTAAGAGCACAGCTTTAAAGGTCTTGGCTGCTGGTTTTGGATCCTGTCGCAACGCTGATGAACAGGTCAGCTGCTCTGAGAGGCAATGAATTTCACCCAGACCAAGAGCCACGCAGAAACGCAGACCCCTCCCTCACAAGCCCTAGAACACTCTTCCTAACCCAAACACCACTTGTAAACTGTGAGAAACACTTCCAAAGTTTTGGCTTTTAAAAATATTTCAACTTGGGCTAAACTCCATATTGTCAAAACATCATGTTAAACATAAAATAAACAACAGGAATCCATTTGTTTAGATGTTTCTGAAGGGCTCATGACTCTGCTCTGTGTCAYGTGCATACAAAAACTGTCAGCATCATTTTCACATAAAAAGGAGACATCCTATAACATTCCCATTTAGCAAGAGGGAGCTAAGGTAGGCAGAAAAGAAGCTCCCAGCTCCAGGGTCACAGTGGGAAATCTTACAGAGAGAACAACAAAAACCACAGCTTCCAAATCCCCATCCATCCTCTGCCTGAACAACATTCACTGTCCCCCCACTAAACTTCATGCCCAGTAACAAACAAAAAATGAGTTTTGCCTCACCAATTCCAGCGTTCTCCACCAGACCAACTTTCTTTCCCAACCCAACGCTTTGGATTTGGCCTGACAGAACTCCTGCCCAGCCCGGAAAACCTTGGCTCTGCTGCAAGAAATGGGAGAGGAGCTGTTTGTTAAAATATCAGCCCCAAGTTTTCTGTTTGCCCAAGCACATCTCAGTGACATTGGTGGCTCCTCTGCATGTGAAAAGGGACACCTTCAGTTTGTCCTGCAGCACCGTCAAGGCCTTTGGAAAGCCCTAGCACAGCAGAACCATACGAGTCAGCTGCATGGGGATGGAGATCAGCATGCCCGAAACTTCCCACTTCCTCTTCAAAACTGAGCAGGGCCATGGCAGGGGGCTCGGCGTAGCTCCAGCGGGGAGAAGGGAAGGAAGTTCAGAGCTGGGGCAAGGCCTGGTGCATGAACAACAGGGAAAACAGAGGCTAAGAAAGTAAAAAGACTGAGGGTTTATCTACACACGCTGAGAGAGAAACCACAGGCTTCACTACTACTTTTCTCCATCTGTCTAGCATGTGCATACAATCGTACTTAAAACAAAAAACTCACAGTTTGACTCCTCTACCCCTGCTATTGTTCAGACGTGATTAAACTGCAGCTGGTGGAAGCGGGCTTGGTGGAGTGTTTACTTGAGATTGTCCAGAAGACCGTGGACAGCGACAAAGAGGATGACATCGCAGAGCTCAAAACAGCTTCTGATCTCATGGTTTTGTTATTGCTTGGAGGTGAGTGCAGCGAATCACTACCTGCTGCAGAGCAGCAGCAGGTACGTGCGGGCCGTTTGGCTACTGCCTTTTACTGTTTATATTAAACACATTTTAAATAACTCAAGGGAGCTGACGGGCGTGACAATAAATCATAAGAGACAGATTTAGTGTCTCATCCTACCGCAAACCTGGATGAATTGCAGCGAGGCTAGTAGAGCTTCCCAGGTACTAACAGGAGCATCCTGCCTAACACACGTTTCTTTGCCTCACTCCCTCTCTGTGCCTTTCACCCCAGATGAATCCATGCAAAAGTTATTTGAAGGAGGAAAAGGCAGCGTGTTCCAGAGGGTACTGTCCTGGATCCCCTCCAACAGCCATCAGCTGCAGCTGGCAGGAGCACTGGCTATTGCAAATTTTGCCAGGAATGGTAAGAACACGCCAAAACACCCCATGCTTGCGTGTGCCCTTCTCGCAGGCTCCAGCTGTGCAACTACCAGTTAGGAGCATGCGCTGGCGTAAGGCATTACTATTGAGCTGCACAGTAACTGCAGTATTCTTACATTTTATCAGCCTGAGGGGCACTAAGTCCACTTTTAAAAGGTGGTGTACATTTTCGTACAGTATATATTCTAGTATGAGTAGAGAATTATTCCCTCTGCACTTTTTGAAACCGCTATTTTAAATTTGCCAGGAGCACTCTCATTGGTGCTGGTGGTCAAACGCCCCAACAGCAAAACCTCGAGGGGAGCAGGGGAGTAACTCGGGGCACTTTAAAAAGCCCCTGCAAGACCCTCGGTAACGATTCCCTTATCGCGCGCAGACGGAAACTGCATCCACATGGTGGACCACGGCATAGTGCAGAGGCTGATGGAGCTGCTGGACAGACACGTGGAGGACGGCAACGTGACGGTGCAGCACGCGGCGCTGAGCGCGCTCAGGAACCTCGCCATCCCAGGTAAGCCCCGCGCCCACCCCAGCCCGCTGCTGCTCCTGGAGCCCCGGGAATGCCCCTGGAGCCCTGGGACTGCCCCCGGAGCCGGGCAAGGCAGCTCCAACGGGCAGAGCCAAAATGTGGCAGAGCTACGGGCCGCCCCTCGCCCCAGCGCTGGCCCTGGCAGCCCGGGGCACCTTCCACCCCTTCCACCTTGTTGTGCTCTTYGCAGCGCTAAAAAAACGAAACTCTCTGAAAGCAACCTTGCACACCTACTAAATTCATACATGGGCATTACCCTGTTGGCTTGCCGTTCTCGGGTGAGTCATTCCWCCCTGTAGCCTGTAGTCAGGAATGTCAGCTTGAAGGCAACATTATGGGTACACAATGGCTGTTTCTATCATGCAAAACAAACAAACAAACAATACTAACTGATCCCAGTGATGAACTGCTTGCTGAACACCATTCTGAGTAAGAACTAAATTCCTCTCCCCTGCCTCCCCCCCGAGTAAAACATTGAACCAACCTTGCAACTTGGAACACTTAAGAACACACAGATGCAGAGGACTCAGAGCAGTGGATGGGGTGAATAACAACTTAGGAGGCTCTGAAGAACACTGGCTCCAGATATGTCAGGACACAGCATTTTTTGCACAGACTGCTCTGAGCAAACAAGAGGTTGCTGTATCAACAGGTCACTTTAGTTCCTTACCTTACAAGGAATAGAAGAACAACGACAGGAATCAGAGCGGCTCCCTTGTATTGCGGGGTGCAAGTACCAGCCTGTGCAGCTGCCTACTGGGCAAATCCCTCCCTAGAGCCAGGAGGAGGGCAGGGACCCTCAGGCCGGGCACGGGAAGCTCGAGGCACGCGCGAGGATGACACTCCTCACTTGACACACACGTCTCGGTGACCTGTTTCTGCGCTCAGCGCTGAGCACACGCTCGCGCCCTGCAGCCTGTGTTCACAAGCCATTCCTCAGGCTTCCTGACTGTCTTGGAAATGAAATGTTCCTGAGATCGATTCTGTTCTTTATTCATGCAGTTGTAAATAAGGCTAAGATGCTGTCAGCTGGCGTTGCGGAAGCAGTATTGAAATTTCTCAGATCCGAGATGCCCCCTGTTCAATTCAAGCTGCTGGGAACATTACGAATGTTAATAGATGCACAAGGTAAAAATAAACTGTTCTCTATGTTAAGTGATTCTCTTTGGTTCAGTCTGTGATATGCTGTTAGATTCTTACAGGAGAGTAGCAGGGCTTTTTTCACAATTTATTCCTGAAGTCTCAGAATAAACCCAATACCTATGCAAAGTGAGAGAAAGGGAGGGCTGATTTTCATCTTATTTTTTAATTTTTAGAACTTCTAAACTGGCTGCCAGGCACCCTGGGTTTTATGTGCTTACTCACTGTTGTACTTCCAAACTCTTCTCCAGTTGTCTTGTTACGTGTAGGTACTTTAGCACAGGTGTTTTAAGCTCCCACTCCCAACTGCGGGATTCCCTTTCTGCCTTTCCCCGTCCCTAGATTTTTTGGACCAGAAAGACACAGGTGTTAATCGATCAGCTGCAATTTCAAAATGCAATGAGATTTTAAAAGCTGAGTTTTGCAGCTTATTCTGTACCTAAGGTGAGGTTAAGTAAAATAGGAAAGTTGCAATATATTGTAAAGTTAAAAATCCGCTATACAACAAAGGGGATTTGCTCCTGGGATCACTTAGCAGGTTTATTACCATTTTATTAGTATTTATCTTTGAGTCAGTACAGCCAGTCAGTACAGTCAGTACATTTTTTCCTAAAGTTCTGCTCCAATTCCTCCACAGCTACTGGATGCAAAATAGAAATTCCCTGTACCCGACTCCAGGGTTTGCAAAACCCCACCCTACTGACCTGAGCACTGTCTCATGTTTAGATATTTTGAGGATAGCTCTGGGGGGAGCACGATGCCACCTTTGCTCGCCCTGCCGTTAGTCACGGCACCAGCCCCATCAACCGGGCTCACTGGTTCTTTTTGGAAAATGGGCTCAGAGTGTTTCCGTATTTTGTTTCCATGTTGACTTCGAGCTTTACTTGCTCACACAAAGCCCAGGCTGTCCTCACTGCTAGCGCAGAGTGAGCCTCTATTTAACAACTCCCTCCTAGTTTAACTTCCCGCACGTTTTTCTAGAACATGCTACGATAGAAATAAATAAACGACCACTTTTCTGTTGTGTTGCTGGCTCTGCGCCGCGCAGCAGAGGCAGCCGAGCAGCTGGGCCAGAACGTCAAGCTGGTGGAGCGGCTGGTGGAGTGGTGCGAAGCCAAGGACCACGCGGGCGTCATGGGCGAGTCCAACAGGCTGCTCTCCGCGCTCATACGACACAGTAAATCTAAAGTAAGTTACCTCTGCACTCAGTCCTCTTGCTAAAAGCAGCCTCTGGTGCCTCCAGCCTTCTGCAGAGCCAGGCTGGTTTGCTTGCGTGGGGCTTTTCCTCCGAGCCTGGGGCCTGGCTATCAGACACTAGCACCACGCTCAATAACTCACCAGAATTACACAGTTAAAGCAAAATACAAAGCCAAATCTAATTTCAGAGCTGCAAGCCAGTTAAAGGATCACTCTTCACATGCCCCACTGCAGTTTCACAGCCTTAAGAGRTCATCAGAAACAATCACTTACCCTGAAGCCCAGCAGAAGCTTTCTGTTACCTGTCCCAAGGCCCTGCATTAAGGGAAGCTGTAGGGCAGATAAGTCCGTCCCTCCCATCACCTTCACAGCAACCAAGTGCCTTCACATGCCCAGTCCCCGCCTGCCATCCTTGCTCAAGTAAATAGCCAGGCGATAAGGACCTAACGAGAAACAGCTGCATCTCCTCTGGTCTTCCTTATTCCAGGCCCCAGGGCTTTATCACTTACTTAACAAGTGCACTGATAAGAACACAGGCTGCAGGACAGAGCCTAACACTAAGAAATGTGATTCAGAACACTCTGATTTTATCAGAGGCCTTTTTATTCACACACAGCATTTGMTAAGAGCCAAACAGATACTGTGGAACAGATCTATACCGAGCCTGTCCAAACCAAAGATCAACATCGGGGGCCTTGGGAGTTAGCGTCACTGYAGGCTTCTCACACAGCCTTCTCCTTCCCCTGTCTCCTTTTCACAGTCAAGCTCCAAAACTGCTCCGTTTTCTCTCCTCACTCCCAGAACTACTTTTTTTTCTTTACACCACGAGCTACATGTAGATATGCTGCAAAAAGCCACAGAAATTTGAGGTTTTACATCAAAATGCTCTACAAGATCAGAAACTCTAAACCTAATTGTAGAGACACCATGGAGAGCATGAAGCAGACACCATAAAACAACAAAATGAGCACAAATAAACGTCCCTATGGTTTTAGGTACTCCCAGAGGACACTGCATTGGGAGTAAGGAAATACTTACAAGTTGCGGGGGCCGGATTTATTGTAATGCTTTTACTGCCCTCTAGGTTTAGACACAAGCACAACTGAATGGCTCTTTACTGCACATGCAAATCACATTGCTTGTTGAATCTAAAAGCCTATAGGGTATTTTCAGCAATGCCTACGAGGACAAGGGTGACCTGGCAAGCCGCGTCCCGTCCCAAAGCGGGGCTAGGGCACATGCGAGTTGAGCCTCCCCGGCGAGGCGAGTGTCACTGCCCGTCCTCTATGGCACGCTGCCCGTCACAGCGTGACCTCCCCCTACGGAGCCGGGCAGATTTTGACTTCGAAGGCGAYGCCGCCTTTTGCTGGCTTGGTGCAATTCCCACCAACTTCCCGGGGAATTATTGCTCCAGCTGTTGTTCTGACCCCCGGGCACCCACAGGTGCTTTCCAGGCTGGCGCACACAGCGCGGGGTGCCCAGGGGCCGCCTCGCCCTGCGCTCCGCTCTGCCCATCCCTTCCTTGCAGGACGTCATCAGGACCATCGTGCGGAGCGGGGGCGTCAAGCACCTCGTCAGCATGGCGACCAGCGAGCACGTCATCATGCAGAACGAGGCGCTCGTGGCGCTGGCGCTCATCGCCGCGCTGGAGCTAGGTGAGCGCCGCCGGGAACCCCGCCGCCGGAGCCGGGCACGGCGGCCGGAGCCCATAGCATCCCCCACACGCCCCCTTTACTGCACGCCACAGCACTAGACACCCCCACACGCCCCCTTTACTGCACGCCACAGCACTAGATGCCTCCAAGACAGAGATGATTCAAGGTCTCAACCAGCCTTCAGGAAAGCGCAGTTTAGCAAATCAAAACTGGGCAGCAAATTGGGCTGTCTTAATTAAAAGGCAAAAACACCTCTACTCACTTGAGTCTTCTAACCTGCCTTTACCTGATGGTCTTCAGAAAGTGACAGGTTTTGAGCCTGAATTCAGTATTTAACTTTTCTTTAAAAACTACAAAATAAATTACTTACATGCTGATCATGCTTGATTTTGCACAAGCTTTCCTAATGGACCCCGAGTTTCCTCTGTCACGAAATTGAGGATTGCCCCATCTGCCCTTATTCGGACACCACTTACAAAAAGCAAATTGAGGTCATTAAGAGGTTTTGAAAATTTAAAATATTGCAATTGTTCACCTCAGTAGCTAAAAAACCAGATGCAGTTTCTGTCAACTCATTGCTCATTAAGATTTCATTTTTTCATTATATTGTCAGGGCCCTTTCAAATAGTTGAAAAATTTTGCATAGAAATCACAGCAAGAGCTGTGATTTCTATCAGCATACCACCTAAAACGCTTCAGTTTTATGCCAGAAAGATTACCAAGGTTTCAATAAATGGATAGATAAAAAAAAAAAAAAAAAAAAAAAAAAAAAAAAAAAAAAAAATAAAAAAAAAAAAAAAAAAAAAAAAAAAAAAAAAAAAAAAAAGCAAGCAAGCAGCTCTTCCACATTAACCAGTTTTTGCTTGTATTGCAGCCACTGCTGAAAAGGATCTTGAAAATGCTCAGCTTGTTCAGATTCTCCACAGACTGCTCTCAGACGACAGGAGCGCACCAGAAATAAAGTACAACTCCATGGTCCTGATCTGTGCCCTTATAGGATCTGGTGAGTATTGAGAAGGGGCTGCTTTCCTGAGAAAGGTACATTGAGACTCAGTTCTCCCGGTTTAGACTGACCGTAGTCTGGGCAAGCAGTGGTTTTACTGCCTCTAACGAGCGTCAGGAYGTTTGCTGCGAGGAAGCCCTGTGTGGGCCCAGCAACCAGCAGCGGTCGGGATCCGCCGGGATGATGCGCAGGGGTCGGGCCCCCGGCAGCAGCGGGAAAGCAGGAACGCACACGGGGGTTGGGAGGCTTTGCCAAAGCAGCCTCGCCAGCCCTTGCGGCTGGCGCGGGGCACTGCCGGCGCCCCAGCGAGCCCGGGGCGCTTGCAAAGAAACATCGCGTTGGTTCTCGGGCCGGCCCCAGCTTCGAGACAGACACATCCTCTTGGCTACAACTTAAGCGCCCTGCTGCTTGCGTGTGTTTATGAACACAGATACCCCTTACACCACAGCACATTGCCAGGCGTGTCTGTAGCCATTTCAGAGCTGAGCACAGCTGAGTACACAGCCTTGGCTGCCACTGAATGGAACGAGTTTCTTACAAGCACGAAGCCTTTCTGCTCCTGCACCTGTCTCGTACCGAGAGCTTTTCCTTTTGCTACGTCTCTTTCCAGAGCCTCTTCAGAAGGAAGTGCAGAGCCTGGCGTTCCTAGACGTGGTATCGAAACTCCGCAACCACGAGAACAAAACTGTGGCCCAGCAGGCCTCGCTAACAGAGCAGAGACTTGCTGTGGAAAGCTGAGGAAGGTCTCCCGTGTTCCCAGCATCCCATCACAGAGCTCACCTTCGTCCTCCGTCCTGCTGCCGCTCCTGCTGTGTTTTCCACTGTATCACTCGTGCATGCGTGTAATGTCCCCACACCAGTTGATGAACTGCTGTAGGTACCTGTCCAAAAAACAAAAAAAGATTTCTAAAACTCCATAGGTGGTGTTCACATGAACCTGTCAGGAACAAGTCTCTTCCACCCATAACTGTTCTACTCGTATTCTTGTTGCTTGGGCCACATAGTAGAATGTGCATGTTGTAGTCCGATGATGATGTAAAGTGGTACTACACAATAACTCTCTCCTCACACCCCAACTGCATAACAATGTGCTACTAAATTAGGGATAATACAAGAGGCAGCAAGTCCAGGCTAGAGGGCTGGCTATAGGATTAAGAGGTAAATCTAGCTCCATTTTTGGTGCTTTGGAGATGCAGGTGTGAATGCAATGTACTGCTGCTCATTCACTGGTCTTGCCTATAAATGTCAAACTCGTGGTACCTAGAGGTAACAAATAAAACTTTCCGTGCTCTCACTTTACCCCACGGTTTCCCCTTTTCTGTCGGCAAGTGCAGCAGCAGCGACTGCACCTCCCTGCACTTGTGAGGAGCCTCTTTCCATTCCTGGCTCTGGCCCCAAAGCAGCCACTCTTTCAGTAAAGAGAAACAGAGAGAAAACGCGTGGGGCTCTCACCAGAACATGCTGCACAATCTTGTCCCCCAAAGCCATGCAAGGTTGAGCGCTGCTGGTCTTGACTTCTTCCCTTCCTCCTCCTCCTCCTCCTCCCCCTTCTCTGCCTCTCCCAAGGAGGAGCAGTTGCAGGCAGGTCGTGCAGGACCCGATCCCACGAGCGAGATGCGGGGCGTGCGGCCCCCTGCCCCATCTCCTCTCGCAGGTGGGTGAGCTGCGATGGTGCCCGTTGGAGGTGCCGCTGCCCCGCTGCACCCGCACAGCTCTGCGGCGCACGCGGCAGCGCTCGGGCACGACGAGGGGCAGCGATGGCACCGGTTCCCAGCTAACGCTCCCTGGCCAGCGCGGTGCTTTGGACTGTGGGCACCGCTGCCGAGATGGGTCGAGTTGGCAGCGCATGGACCGAGCGCTCCTGTGAGCTAGAACATGAAGGGAATCGAGGGCTCCTCTTCACCAGCAGGAAAGACGCTCTCAGAAACCAGGTCACGAAGCACCAACGTTGACCTGATGAGCTACGACATTTGGCCTCACGAACCCACGCTCCATCCCACCCAACGCTCCCGCGGGAAGGGCCCAGCCCTGATGGGGAGCAGAAGTTGATTATGAAAAGAAATTAGAGACCTTCCTCACTAGCCTGCATTCAAAAGCTGCTGAGATGGTACCAAAACCCAGCAGATGCTACAACAATATTCCTACAGCAGAGCAGATCCCAAGTCCATTTAATCCAGTGCCAGAATCTAACTGGCAACAGCACAGTCATAAGAGAAAAAAAAAGCCTTTAGCATTAACCGTGCACTAGCCTCTCATTTCAGAAGAAACCCCAGAGATGCCTGCAAGGAGCAGCGCAGTGTCAGCGCAGACTGCAGGGACGCGGGTGCAGAGCGGGTCCCAGCGAGGGCGGGTTGTGCCCGGGTGCCTCAGCCCCGCGTCACACCGGGACACGTGCGTTCCACATGCCCAAAGCATGGAAATCATTTCCATCCATTTCAAAAGCTTCCCAAACAAATAGAAAACTGCCAGGTAACTTTGACCTGAGTCTAGAGAGGGACCCTTTAYCCCCTGTGACACCAATACAAAAGTGCCAGTATTGGTGTGAGGTGACTGTAAAATCATGATAGTTTCTATTCTTTAGTTATCTAACTGGGCCTTAGGTTAAGCATTACCCATATCTTTACTATTCATTTTTTTATTAGGGATACCACTCTCACAGCAAGCAGGTACATGGGTCAATCCTCGTATCCTTTTGCACGTTTTCCAGGTGGTTTATGTGGACAGAATATTAAATAACCCACATTTCCAGATTAAATCCATGCTAAACCCATACAGAGAAGGAAAGGTCATACAGGCTAGAGGGTTTTTTTTCCCTTTTGTCATGAGAAGATGCTGGACACACAGGACCCTTTCCTTTGCCTACTGCTGCCACAGAGCAAGGCAAAATGCTTCACCGCTGCATTAGCACGTAGGGCAGAGAGGGCAGACAGCACCCGGCTGCTCTCTCCTTCACCTCCATCTGTAGGACTTCCACAAGGTCCAGCATCTCGCCAGCAAAGGAGCAGGCAAGCACTTACCTGCTCACACATTACAGTGTGGAAATAAAGGAAAAAAGTCACTTTATATAAGGCACAAATCCCAGGATAGATTTGGGATTCATAACATCCAAGTGGTTCAACTGAGACCACAAGCCCAGTTTGGGTCATTCATTTCAAGGGTCCCAGAAACATCAACTAATGACTCAGTTCTGCATACAGAATACAGAGAGCTGTTCCTCGTTCTCCCTAAAACCGTGAAAATGGTTCATTTCCCGGTTCTCTCCCATGTTTGGAAAGAACTCAGCACTGCCCTGAACTGTGCTTTTCGGTTGCTTTTCATTCCCCTGCCCCTCAAAAGGTCTCTGCATTTGCATCTTGTTTTGCCAAAAGCCTTCTCYGTATCTGGAGACAGACACACACCCCAGAAACGTGTGAAAGGCCTCTGACCCGCAGCGTGCAGAGATGCGCTTTTAAACTCGTCAAGGGGGCGTCTTGTGGACAAAGTGTCACAACAAGGGAGAGGCGCAGCCAACGCGCCGCTCCCGAGCAGATCTCGGCTCGSGAGTGCCAGGAGCCCGTGGCTCTTTTTCCCAGGAGAGCAAGGGGAGGCTCGGAGCGAGAGGCAGAGGAGMCCCGTTCAAGGCAGCTTTCTGCCGACTCGCACACCAACCAGGCAGGCTGCAGGGTGGTAACAAACAAAACCAAAGGCAGACCAGGTAGCTGCACAAACCACGCTGCTCTCTGGGGCTCCAGGGAGAACAGGGCACRTGCTGTTTGCTCGCACTGAGGCTTGAGGAGAGCACTTGCACCGGGGCAGTAAGTGACCAATTGTGCCCAGAAGCTGTCAGAGCAGGAGCCAACGTGGTCCCTCGGCACAACCCACCTGGAGRTGGTGCTCACACCAAGCCCAAGAGCAAAGCCAGGAGGAACAATCCCCCGGCTCCCCAGAAATTCTGTTTCTTGGGGGAATTGGCTCTTCCCAGCCCCACCGACCAGCACAGACCCGTGGGCTCCTACCTCTGTGTGCGCTCCTCACCCAGCCGGGTGCTGCAGGGCTGCTCCCAAGGGACAAACCTTCCCTTGTCCGCTCTGGAGAGAATGGTGACCGCTGCTGCAGGTGCAACGAGCCCTCCAAGTGTTTAGAACCTCCTTCCCTGTGGTACAGCAAACTCGCTTTTCAAAGTGCCTATGGTTCATTGTGTTTTTGGTTTATGTAGCAGAGGAACCAAATACTGTATTTTAGAAGTACTAAATTGGATTTGCTCCCTCTAAATTTTAAATACTGAAAAGCAGTGCTTTTTTACTCTAAGCAACAAGTGCTGGACACCAGCAGATTTCCCCCATTTTATTCTCCRCAATAAAACTACCCAGCTCACATTATTTACTTCTGCTTAACAATACGTCAGCCTTAGAGAGCAGAATTCCTACCTCCCTTTACACAAGTCTAGTCTAACTCATGGCAACTCCATCGGCTCCCTTGGTGCTGCTCCCTGCGAAAAGCGGCTCGCGGACGCRCGGCAGTCACCATGCTCCGAGGCCGAAAGCTCCGAGCGCGGCAGGCCCGGGAGCACCGGCGACCTGTGGGAAGCAAAGACAGAGCACGGCCGTGAGCCACGGGCCTCCCAGCAGCTCCAGGAACACCCGGAGCTCCTCACAGGACGAGGGACTCGTGGCACTTAAGGGTAGTTTCTGGAAGGCTTTGGATGACCGACTTGGGACACAGGGTGCTACGCAATATATGAGAGGCCTTGGGCTCCCCACCAACCACAGTGGGTCTTTGGGGGATTTTCTGGAGAGGAGTTTTGCCTGGAGGCACCTTGGAACCTTTAACACCAAGTACTGCATCAAAAGTACACATTCACAACATGTTTCACACAATTTTATTTATAAAATCGTAATTATCTAACAAATTGCATATAAAATGATTTACTTCAAGTAAATACAGAATACTGCACAACTATTAAAACTATCGTGTCGTCCATTGTAAATGTATTAAAACATTCCTAAAAAATGCATCTATTAAAAAACAAAAACCCAAGAACACAAGTAGCATGACCAAGACCACTTTCAATAGCTTAAAATGAATTCCCAGGAAGTTGTACCAACTTCCCAAGTGTACTCCAGTTACATCCATTGAGATCAGCATGTGATACAATACCACAGTCTAATGCTAAAGATGACACATTTAAGTAACACGTATGCACCTGATCTATACTTTTCTTCTAGGCTCAAGATGACCGGTCTGAAATCAGACAACTAAAGCTCAAGTCAAACTCTACTGGCATGCAGCTCTGTTATAGCAATACTTTCAATCTGTAAGTGTAGTTGGCTTTTACAATCAATTTTATAACTGATTTTTTTTTTGTTTTTAAAGAAAAAAACAAAAAGGAACACAAGAGAATACATTCATATAAAAAAAAAAAGGAATGATACACAAAAGGTAAATACCAACACCTTGCCTTACGTCCCAGGACAATTCAAGGAGAGAGACGCACTCGGAGCGGGTCTGGACCACACACATCCTCTCTGAGAGGAGAACAAGCCCTAAAATCAACCGCCCGCCCGGAGCTGGAGGCAGCCTCTCCGCAGGGGGCACATGGATGGAGCCGACCCCGGCCRGTTCCTCCTGCCGGAGCCCCGGGACAGTGGGCCGTGCACTCTGCTGCACGTTAGCTGTGCAAGGTGTGCCAGCCCCCGCAACAGAGGAGCTGGTTGGTAATGGACTTAGCTGAGCAAACAAGGCCAAGGAGGGTCGCGCGGCTTTCTTGTGTTTCATGACCAACGAGACTCCAGCACGGACAGATGAAAAAGGCTGAGAGAGAGAGAAAGCGAATGGGATGGGGAACCTGGAAGCTCCTGACCCCTGCCAGACCTAACCCGCTCCCTGTGGATCTGCAGGGCTGCCCCCTCCGTGCTCCCGGAAGGCGCCGGCACAGCGAGAGGTGACACGGCCGCGGAAGTCGCGCGAGCGCTTCTCCCGCCACGGCGGGCAGCTTTGCCCCGGCGGTATCCGAGCAGCAAGGCGCAGATGAGCCTCCGGGAGGGCAGCAATCCCTAGCACCACGCTTGGCCCCGCASAGGCCCCGCGGCGGGCCGGCCTCGCCTGCAAGCGGCCCAGGAGGCACGAGGTGGCGGGCGATGAAAACGCTCCCGCCGCGAGCCCAAGCCCCGAGGCCCGGCCCGGCCGGCGCTCTCACCGGGGGGCAGCTGCCCGGCCCGCAGACACCCGGCGGGGGACCAGCGGCCTTGTGCAAGCATCGTTTCCTTCACATGCTACTATTTACACTGCAAACACTATGTACACGTGGGAAGGGAAGGGAAGGGCGGGCAGCGCCGCTCTCCCAGGGCGGAGCGCAGGGCAGCCAGCACCGCAGCTGCCCTCCCCGCAGCGCCAGCCCGCGCAGGGGTTTGCAGCAGAGCTCTCTGCTGCTGCTCATACAGGTGCTCGCTCGCAGAAATACTAACACTCGCCCTTTAGGCTACCCTAAGAAAACAGCCTACGAACATGGAGAGAATTTGGAACCCGCGAGGCTGTTCTGCCRGGCTCGGTGGGGGATTCAGAGGCTGGTGACATTTCCCAAGCGGAGAGAGCTCGGCCAAGCCCTTCCCGTGCGGCTGAGCGCAGCCGGAGGCTGCAGTGCCCACCCTGCCCACTGCGTCGGGAGAGAGGGAGCAACCTCCAGGGCCTCCAGGACCTTCCCCACCTGGGCGCCCCAGCTGCTGGCTGGATGGGGCATTTCCAAGAGCATCACCCAGCCTGCAGACAAGACGTGGGCTTGAAAGGTGCAGCACAGTCAGCTAATGCTGAACATTCAGTACGCCTCCATCACACACAYGTATGACAAGTGCGAGAAGTAAGAGTAGCGTTTGGAAGGGAGGGGGCATGGGCACCTGCAGCAGTGAAGATCAGCTGCAGTAAAGAAACACTTGCCCTTATTCAGTGGCTTTTCTCAGCGAGTCACTCTGGGACTCGGCAGGAACGTGCGTGTGCACCTGCAAGTCGCGAGAACAAGGCTTCCTCACCTCCGAGAGCACCTGCCTTCCTACGAGCCTGGCCCTGCGGACGGCACTTCCAGCGGCCTGGGSGCGGGGAGCAGCGCGACGAGACACGAGGCCGACGCGGCGCAACTGCGGAAATTCAAGCAGAGAGACAGGAGTTACCTTCCCAAGCCCAGAGCAGCAACAGCAGCATTCAAGATCAGGGGCAACAAGGAATGTTTCTGTAACGTGCTCTTTTTTCCTGCAATTCAAAGTGCTGGGTGACCCCCTAGCAAGGCTTTCGGGTGGCCAGCTGAGTCCCGGCTCCCCCCACCAGCGGGAARGCGGGTCCCCTTTGTGGGGTGAAACCAACACTGGGAACTCCTCGGGCTGAGGAGTGACTAAGAAAAACATAACACTGCAGTGAGGTGGAACCAACTTTATTAAGGTCAGCGAGTTATAACTGCTTTCAAAGGCTTAAAAAAATCCCCTCTGAGTCATGGCTGGCCTTTAACACCAAAGGATGCCGAGACTGCCCGAGTCAGAGGCGGGAGGTGACCAGGGCAGGACGAGGTACTGCTCAACGCTAGGAGGGCGACAGGACCCCCGRGGTGCCCGCAGGACACCCACATACCTACCAGGAACCTTCCAAGGGGAGCACGCTCCTGGCAGGGGCAGCACGCGCAAGGGAAAACAACTCACGCGCTCACGAGTCAACACGCTCACTCCTTCCTTCCTTCCTTCCCTGGGCTCTGCATCCGTTGCCCACGGAGGCCGGTCCCGCTAAGGCCTTCTCCTCGCGCAGGGTGCCGCGCACCCTTCCCGCGCTGCCCAGGCGCAGGCCTGGCTCAACACGCACCGAGGAGGGTCCTACGACAAGCAAAATTCATACAAAGTGCAATAGAACTAGCCAGGCCACGGTTAGGTGCCTACGTCCATTCTTGGTAAAGAAGAAAGATYGCAAACTCTAAGCTGGATGGAGTCTGATCTAATTCTTCTTCCGCTGTTTGTGCTTTATTACAAATTCTACCATCTTTTGTCCAATTCAGAAGGGCACRTGCCTTGGTTGGTCCTGATCCAAACATCTGGTTTAAATCTTTTATTTCATTGCCTCGAGAAAGCTTTTTGTTGCATTCAGAGCAGCCAAAGGGAGACACACATTTAGCAAGGATATTTTCACCCAAGGTCATCACTTACTCTGCCAAAAGCTATTCTCCCTCTCCAACTTCCAAGGGAAGGGGATATGATCTTTCCATTATCTCATGCACTTACCAATAAATAATTTTGAATTAGACTGTTATTAAAACATATGCACAAATTTAAAGCACTGGAGTGTCACAGACTCTTACAGCTCATGCAAGTAAAAACAARTTGAAGGAGGGGAAAAGAAAAAAAGAAAAAAGAAAGACCAAAGCATCAGCTAGGAGCAGACCAAGGAAACACCTTTAGAGACGTTTTGCACAAGTAGAGCAAAATCCTCATCTTAGTGAGATCCCCAAATACATCAGGTCACACTAATTCCAGAGAAATCAAAGAYTTAGCCATACCAGATACATATGTTTTGTTTTTGTTAATATATAGTTCATTCTTTGAAGAACATCATTCACTTGGACCAACACCCACACTGTTTTCATACATTTTATACAGTTATATCCCATTTTTGCCTTCAGAGGCTGATGCCCTATGGCACGGCAATGACCAAAGGCTCTGCAAAACCCTTGCTTGTCAAATATAAAACTTCTTGCCCTTCAGTACAAGGGTGGAGAAAGGAAGAAAGGTGTTGAGAAAAGGAGGCCGTTCTCCCTGCCAGTCTGCCGAATCCAACCTCAAAGCACTACGGAGAGACGGTTGGAAGCCTGTGTAAAAAAAGTTTTCCCTTGTTTTAAAAACAATTTCATTTACTGTACAATAGGTGCATAGAAAGTTGCTTTCTGCTTAATGAGTGTAGGCCAGTAGCTATCTTGAGTTGCGGAAACAAGATTGTTCCTTCACAGAGTGGTGAACAGCGAGACCATCTCAGGAATATTTGGCAGCTATCAGGAGCTCATGACACACAGAACAAACAGCATATCCACAAACTACAATGCAACTCTGTCCCACTGAATACACCAATTTTAAGAAGTGTCCACATGTTACTCAGGATCAAGAATACAGTAGAGATTCACAGCTCAACAGCTTTCAAAACGGTGGTTTGAAACAAAGTTAGTTGCCAGTGAGCAGCAGATTTTAAGACAGCMCACTCTTCTCTCCCCCAGCCCGCCAAAGAAACACGAGTTCACTGCAGCATCAGCAACTTGAGTTGAGACTGCTTGGGAGAGAAGACTTCCCTGTCACCCATGTCCATACAGCTTGGTGTCGGAGCGACACACTGGAGGTTTCAGAGGGTTTCAGTTGTCCAGTGTCTTGTTGTGTGGTTATTTCAGCAGTTTTACCAGCTGGCTCTGACAGCCTCAATGTCACTAACCAAATTCTGGGCTAAGCATATCCCAAATATCTGGAAGAGACAACAGTTTATTCATTTGGAGCACTGGACAAAGGCCTTTTAATATAAGTAAGCTCCTTAGGTTACACAGAATTTTAGTATTAAAACAAACTAACAAACACACAGCAAAAGGAAGTTAAAAACCCATGTTAGCCAATCCCAGGGAACGGAGGTTTACCTGCAGCAGCGCTATCCCGATGAAGATACCGGCGACTATGGTGAGATTGTCCTGCAGCCACTTCTCAAACTGTGGCACGCAGCCCTTCGTGTAGATGACAATCTGCTGATCGACTTCCTGGAGGGACAAGAGGCAAGAAAGAGACTGTTACATTTGACTCTCGCGCCAGCAGAGCAACCCACTCTTGCGAGAGGCGTTCAGACCTCTCGGGCAGCACGCTGAAGGAAACACTTACTGGTTTTTGCCTTGCATCGTAGCCACACTGAGTGTTAATAACATCTTCCTAGAAGAGAGTGAGAGAAAAACAAGAGGCAAATGAGAAACATCTCCAAAATGTCCTTTTCCAACACTCCAGATCTAACACCATCACCCCAGCTTTGGTCACAATATTATTTTTTTTAATAATTCCTCCCTCTTCCATTCAGTGCCATCGATTATTTTCAGCAAACAAAAGCACATATTCAAAAAACACTCTCGGCTCCTGAGGCAAGACGCAAAGTTTTGCCTCAAGATTCACATTGCAAGGTGACTATTAATATTTTTTAGGGTTCAGCCTGTGCAGTGAAAAGTTGATCTGTTGCAAAACCTGCAAGTTCTTCCAGAGAATGAGCTGATCAATACACACAATATCTAGCTCCTTCCCAAAGACTAGAGAGGAGAGAGACAGGAATACATTTTCCTACTGCTTACTCTTTCTTACAGGGCCTGACACATACAGAGATGGAGTTTCTCCCTGCTGCTTCTGATTTAGCACTCACAAAGCACAAGAAATAATACAGGCTGCAGCAGATTTTCCTCAGTGAATAAGCACTAGTGAACAGCACAAGTCTGGTAGCATTATCAGACTTGCAGCCTCTCTTCYGGACTTTCTAAGTATGAAACACCCCCACTGGTTTCTTACAGAAAAAAGTCAGCCTAGTTACATATGTGAGAGTGAAAGGGGAACAGGAGGTCCAGGGGGCCGCAGGAAGCGTAACGGTGTCCGCAGCGCGTGCCCACCGCGTGTCCAAGCTGCCACTCCAGCGCTACGGACTCCTACTTTTGGTTGGTCGTTGACACTTCCTAGTTTCTGGGAGATCAGGGTTGGCCGTAACAGCAGCAAAATATTCAGTTACTGCCTCACATATTAGTAGTGTGCAAACAATTATTTAAAGGAGTCAGAAAAGAAGCCAGTCTTAGCCAGGTGTACTAAACACTAAATAAAATGGTTAAGTAAGCAAACCACTCAGCAGACACCAATTAGAAACAGCAGTCATATGAACAAAATCTATCCCGTTTTCTCTGCAGTTAGGGTCCCACAAGTGCATGCAGGAAACGTGTCAATACATACCATGTCACTGTGTCCCCAGTTCTTTTCAGGCCTCYCATCAGTTTCCCAAGTTGGATTCCCTCAAAAGACCTTCAAGCCTGGATTAATTTGCATCTTATGAGACAAATGCTCCTATTCCAGGATTTAGGCTAGCAGAGCCACCCACTTCATGACTATAAAAGCAGGTAAGCGTCCAATAGATTGATCTAAGCTTAATCCTTTATGCTCTATGTCTCCTTTATCTTATTAACAAGGTCTTCTGCTTTTAACCTTGGGATGTGTTAACTAGTCCAGTGCACTAACTCAGACGGGGGAACTGCATCCACCACCAGCATCCAGCCACATTTCACAACACTGGCCATGCTGACTGCTGCTCTCAAGTCACAGATGGCTGCGCAGCTGCACATGTTCTGCTTTCACAGGGGAAAAAAATCACCACATATCACTGCAATCAAAGCAGTTGCAGCTTGGTTACAATTATCTCTCTGACTTTTATTATCTCTGTTATCCAGAGTGTTGCTTTACAATAAAAAGGAGTGAGGTTTATCTTTAAGTTTCTGGTTCTTGCATCTTCCCCCAAGAACACATAACCACACACCTACCGAGATTCAGAGACAAGTTTAGCATGGATTGCTTATTTATAGGATTACCTTATAGTGCTGTCGCTTGTTTGGTTTTATAACAAGTATATTTTTAAAACTGGGTTATGATGACCTCTCTGCGTGGGTGAGTGGGCTGATGGACAGAGGGTGGGGGAATCCTATGCATAATGTAATGCCCGAGTCTAACCTACTTTCAAGCTTATCTTGTTAAAAAAGAGATGTTTCTGAGGAAACATCTTTTTTTTTGAGTCTTGAGGAAGACTCAAAGTGCTGTGGAGACTTGCTCACTGCAGAGGAAMCAGCAGGCTGCTCACAGAAGGTGCAGTGCCTCGTCAGGGGACAGGAGGGACAAGAAGAATGACTGATGCTGGGAGCGCCAGGGGCAGAGATCATCCTTCATTCCCACATCCAGCACAAACTGGGTCACCCTGGCTGCAGTCCGCGGACACTCTATTAAATAACACCTAGTACCTGCTTTGGGCTGCTTGATCTTGGAGCCACTGTCCTTTGTGGAAGAGGATGAAACAACCTGACAATGTCCCACCGAAAGTTCATATCTTTCAAGTCATTAAAAGTTTCTGCCTTTTATATTTGCTAAAACTAAAATGTATGTTCAACCAAGCCAATGCCTTTAAGTTAGCTTATAGTTTTGCCTAACTGCAGAAAAACCTGCATTTCAGTTGAAATGCAAGTCAAAACACTATAGTGGAGGACAAGACAGACTCATGACTTCAAGACGACACTCTAGTGCAGTGATTTCAAATGAGAACAGCAGAGCCATCCTGTCGCCTTGACTGTCACTTACGGCAGGGTCCTTAGTGCAGCAAGAGAAGGGCACCCCGCAGCGCTCRCGGCTGGCGTTGGAATCGGTGCAGTTGAAGTAAATATTGAGGTTCCAGTCATCAGCTCCAAAAGCCCCGCAGCACTGCCACTGCAACAAAGAAGGCAGAACAGAGTCACTTCCAGCATAAACCACGCTCAGCGCTAATAACGTGCATCGCTGCTGCCACCCAGCTTTCCAAAAGGAACTGCAGATTCCCTCTGGTTTCGTTGGAGCTACTGTGCTTTAAAGGGAAAAGCAGGAGAAAAGGAGCACTCCAAGCCCCTAAGTGGTTCTTCAGTTACTATCTAATTAGATCACCCTGCAATGTTGCTCTGTGGAGAGAAGCCCATGGGCTGAGCTGATAAGCTTTAACAGCCCCACACAGCTGCAAGTTCGGCCTCTAGCAGGAGTACAGCCARGAGCTGGATATTGGGACAAGCCTAAAGGTTCCTGGGTTCTCAGCAAGGCTGAAGAGCTCACAGTTCTTCAGCAGGCATAGGCAGCACAGTTCCCAGTTTGGGGGATCTTCACCTGTCCATGCACTGTAGGTRTTTCCTGAGTTAACACATTATGTGGATAGCATCATCTTTAGAGCAGGCAGGCAGGATTCTTCAAAAATTGAATGAGAAGGTCAATACCCCAAGTAATTAAGTCTCTAGTAAAACATGTTGAAAACAAGAAGAATGGATTGGATGTCAAGGAGCACTGATAATTTGCATCACTTGAGGCTCCAGGCCAATTAATCCCTCTATGCCAAAAAGCAAGCAAATAARCTACCATAACACCACCACACACACCATCCTATTTAAAAAGTGTTGGACTTGCAATTCCCTCTGCAGATGTTGCACTGTTTTTTCCCCCCTGCAATACCTGAAACGTGCTGTCTTCAAGCATTATCCCCACCCAGCTAAAGAAGCAGTTTGCCCTCCAGACACGCACTGTCCCGGATTTACCTGCCAAGGCTACTAATCCAGTTAGGAGAGCAAGTTTGATTATGTGGTGCCAGTCTACTATGAAATTGGATTGTGGCCTTCTGGTCACATACACACAGACCACTACACTCATACTGGGGAGAYCTCGGGCACTCTCCCAGCTGGAACACATCCAAAGCCAACGCAGAGGACTGCATCCTGTTACTCACATTCCCTGTCACTGCCATCAGTCCCTCCCATCCCCGGCATACAAAAGCATCAAGTAAAATTAATATATTTTCAGAATGTACACAAATTAATAAACATATTTTCAACCACTTAGCTAGCTATGCAGTGCCAAAAATCAAAGAGGATTTCATGGACATAGYTCAAGAGAGTACTGAAACCAGAAAGTAATGGCAAAATAAGTTGTGTCTAAAAGTCTTTATGCACTGCTAAGGTAAAGCTTTTCAGGGGCATGCATGTCTCTGGCTTCACTTTTCCTTCCCTAAAGCACAGGCACAGTCTCTTTTAGAGATTTCTTATGAGGATTCATGGCCCAGTTCCACTCAACTTGAGCACATTAAGTCTTTTTAAAAAACCCACTAGTGGCATGTCTCTGTCATGTTGCAGCAGGGTCTAGCATCTCACCTCTAACATTGCTAAGGAGATGTGATGTGAGCATCCATCTCAAACTCGATTAGCTTTCCACCAAGCTTGCAAAAGGGTATCCTAGATGTGATAGCTCCTACAATAAAATATTCTGAAAGTGCCCCTTAAAAGTCCTAAGATATCCTTAGACAGGCACATGGAATATGCTCCAACAAGCTGAGCACAAGACTGATGATAACAAAAGGTAGATTTGCACCACCTCTAAACATATTCAAGAATAATTGCCTACCATAATTATTTCTCCCAATTATACATCAGTAAATTAACTACCTGTTACAGGTGCTGTTTATAGAAGTTATGTGAAAAGATCAAAGGTTACCTATATATTCTACAGTATCAGATTCTAGAATGACTTTGTTGTACCTTGAAGAAACCAGACAGATGGGAAGTAGAAATAGAGTATGCATTTCTTTAAGGCAAGCATAAAACACACACAGTCCAACTTACATACTCCTGTGTAAAGTCTATGAGGTTTTGCAAATCAATGTCATCTCGGTAAGCTCTGATGTTGTTGTTTATGAAGAAATACAGTTGGTCCTTGATCCAGTCTTTGAAAACAAATGCTAGCACACCAGCCGTGAGCTCCAGGAAGAAAATAATTCCAAGGAACACTGAAAACTATGAAGAAAAGGAACAGGTTAGAATTATTTTACATTTTCAATTAAAAAAATTTGATTTTTTTTTCAAAAAATTGAAAAAATCAATTTAAAAAATAGCATTTAACTAGACCTGTAGTCTTGTATTCTTGATTTTGTCATGCCTAACAAATAATAAAAGGCCAACAAATGCAAATTCAGCACCTACACTAGGACACTTCCCTGGACTTCTCAAGAGATTTCACTATAAACATCCCTGGAAATACCTACTTGCCACATGGAGGGCTCTCTAAAAGTCCTCCAGTTTCTGTATAGAGATATTTTTCAAGGCATGGAACAGTTTCCAGTGCCAAGAAAGCACTTTGAGTGACTTTCTCGTTAGCCATCCTTATTGGAGAAGCTTTGCATAAACATGAAAAGCAAGAACTGGTAACAGCAGAAATTAATGACCAAGCCAGAGTGGAATGTCTGTGGAATGACTCACATCCACATTAAAACCAAATGAGGCTGCTATGATTAATGCAAATGCAACGGATGCCAAAGGCATTACTAATGACCTGCCACTTTCAGCATCTCTAGCGAGGCTACACAGTGGTTTAAAGCACAGAGGGGCCCCCCTGCTACACTGGAGCTCCATCCCTTTCCCAACTGCGCCTTTGAGCTTCCCTTAATGCGCTCRCTGTGTTTGTTCAGATGCATTTTTAATTTTTCCTGCAGCTGCTGTATAGGAAGCTATTTCTGGTACGGCAGATGGGTTCATTTTAGGCAAGCTGAGAGAGGCGAGCAAGAAAAAAACTGCTACAATAGCTTTYCTTCTTTCTCCTTTATTTTCTTTTCAAGCGAGGCAAGAGCAGGCTAGAACCATTGCACAGTGCTTTATAAATGCCTTATGAACAGTAACTGTCAACTGCCTCTTCACCCTCCACAAGACTTGCCTGTGAGAGCCAGATTTGTCATCTGGAGGCAGTTGCTTTGCTGGAAGCCTTTCTGTGTGTCTATTAACAGCTCTGGGCTATGAGGACACAGACTAACACCATCCAGGCTGTGCCCGTCTCTGCGAGCAGGAGTGTAGGTGCAGAGGGAGGGACSTTGAGTTTATAATTAAATTTAAAATTTGGGTTAAACTCAAGATGATCCAGTTGCCCTCTGAAGCGGTCCTCCAAGATGAGGCTTTAGCTAGAGGTGTTCTGGATCTATCAGGGGTATGTCTGTCTGCCAGCAGGGCCTTCTCCAGCTAGCAGCTGAGCCCGGAGCTCGCGGTCACAGCTCCCGTAGATCCTCGGTGCCGCGGAGCAGCCAGGGAGCCGGAGGCAGGGCCGAGCGAGGCAGCCCCTCAGCAAGGCGCGCTCGCCCGYCCCGTACCAGGAGGGCCCCTCGCGCGCCCCGTGGCTCCCCGTCAATGGCATAGTTGTGTCCCTCCCCATCTCACAGGCGGCTCATTATGGACTCCAAGCTCAAYGCACAGATTCTTAACACAAGTTTCTCAGTGTCAGAAAGGCAGAATATTAAGCTATCTCTGCAGAGCAGCAGTTCCGCATTATGATTCCTATGATTTTTCAGCTTTAAGAACAGAACTAGTGCAGCTCCTTCAGCACCTCGGCTGCTTCAAGTGTTAATAAACAAAAATGATAGATAGCACAGTACTGTGCCACCAAACAACTCTGCTCTTCCCCCACAACAGAGATTTTCAAGTCTTTATAGAGGTAAGCAGAAACATAGAATATGATTTATGCTACATAAGGGACAGATCCCACAATTGCAAAGGCTACTTACAAACTTGAGCAGAAAGGTATTTTCTCGCAAGGCTCCAATGCATCCYGCAAATCCCAGAATGAACATAACTCCTCCCACCACTAGGAAGAGCCAAACGGGATCAAAGCCTCCCAGGTCCGTGATGGAGGAGATATTGGACAGCACTCCCTGAAAAAGAAACAATGCCAAGGCATAACAGATGTGCCCAGTTTTCTGTCCGGGAATTGCCGCTTGCATTTTTCTTTTTAAAAAGGAAGACRTCTACAGCAATGAGCATTCATCAGGACCGCAAGAAAACACCATTAATATGACGTTGGCATCTATAAAGAGGTAAAAAGGGCCATTATGTACAATATTTGCTGAGTCAACACATGGAATGAACAGCGAAACTTGCTTATGATGGAGTTTTTTCCAAGAAAGTCACTGGGTGCTTTGCTGCATCTGTACTTAAACTATCCGCCAGAAAGTCAGGGTAGACAYTTGAACAAAAATTAACTCTATCTTATTACTCACAAGGGAATACATTTTATGCATCATACGCACTSTTTATACAGGCACACAGTTACAAATGTTAGGTCAGAAAAGTCGATAATTAGAACATCATCTTTAATTTCAGAACAATTTGAAACCAGTATCAAAGCAAGAATCCTCCTAACAGGCCCTCCTAACAGGCAGATTAAGGGCTCTCTGGGGAGCTGACTCGCCATAGCCTACAGCCCATCTCCCTGCGCTGCCGTGGGACACGACAGCCAGCCCTGAATGCCTGCAGAGTTTTTAGCCCTGCAAAGCAGCCCTTTGRCTGCGGTACTGGTAAACGCTGAGCAGCCAGTTCATTTCGGAGCACATTTTAACCAGAGTTTCGCTGATGTTGAGCAGATGGATCACGGCAAGGAGCAAATACAAAGTCTTCCTTATTCCAGTGAGCTTGCACAGGACAGCTAGTCTCAATGCTAAAGTACAAACACTAACCATGAGCCTGAATGACAGTCAAGCCAGATTTCTCTTCCTCCTACTACAGGAGGCTGTGTCCTGACAGACAGGGATGGGAAAGAAAAAATAAATAAAAAAATCACATTCATCCCTTTCCTCCTACAGTACTAGTCTGATTGTCATTCATTAAGCGAACCAAACCAGAGGAAAAGAAAGGCATGATATAACAAAATGCTGCTGAGAGGCAGCCTTACTATCAGAGCAGACTGGTTGGCGTGCGCTCATTTCTAAGAAACTAGTGGTAGGGTGGTACAAGCCAAGTTGGAATGATGATTTAATCAGCCATTAACACGTAAATCAACTTGTAAGCAATGTTTCCACTCCTTTTGCTTCACTACATATGCTAGAGAAGGCAAAACCATAATTTTCTGGCTAAGAATAAAAAGCACCAAAATAAACAAATGAAATCAAACCCACAAATCACCAAAAGAGTCACAGCCTTGGATATATGCGAGGCAAGAAACACGAGCTCTGCCCTAAGAGAAAAAAGGCTGCTATAATGACATCTAACCCAGTTTTGAAGTCTTTCAGGTTTTCCTTCAATGCTTACAGATGGTGTAAGATGAAGGAGATTTTGCCTTAAAGCAAACACTCCTATGTCTATTTTAGCGTTTGCTATATCTTAATGCACTTTGGTATATCAAAACGTATCAAAACAGTCACTAGAGAAACATATTGCCTCTGTATTATGTTTTCTTTCCTAAAACATAAAAACTAAAGAAAATCCTAAAGAACAAAGAGTCATTTAAGTCTCTCTTTCTAGCTACTTAGTGTTGCCCCGTTTATAGGGTCACATACAATGCACACTGCACAGCTCCAGCTCATGCGCCTCTGCGTGCTCCCTGCATCCCAGCTTATCAGCATTCCAGACACGGACATCTCGGGACATACGATGGGCAGCGAGGCCTTGGCAATAAACCAAGAGCCAGCAGCAGGGCTGAAGACAATAAAACAAGAGCCAGCAGAAAGGACGAGGAAGGCGTCACAGTTACAACTAGGGGCGCACAGGGCTGCTCTGCTGCAAGATCACTGCTTCCTGCCCGGCCATCCTCCTGGCTTGTCTTCTTTCTGGACACCTACAAATAAGCTGCCTGCACAGAAACAGCCATGTCACTCTAAAGCAAATCATATTTTGCTTCACACAGCTGGGCAATAACTGAGAAATATTCTTTCATATTATACTGCTATAAAGAACTAAATATACAGCCCTATAAGCACCTATGTTTCCAACCAGTTCGCGTTTCAGGGGCCTTTTTTGTCCCCCATGGTTAGAACTGCTCATTTCTGGGACAAGTTTGACAGAGTTGTACAGCACTCTGGTAATGGCCAGTTCCACCTTCATCCCAACTTTCTCCCAGGGATGCCAGAGCACAGGATCAGGAATCTCCCTTGCTCGCCTCTCTAGTGGCATGCTCCAAATCCTCGCACCGAGTAGCTGCTCACATACCATACAGGGAGTCTTTGCCCACTGGTTCGTCACAGGAGCACAAAACCTAAGCAGAAATCTGTAAACCCTTTAAAGTCATGCTCGCTACAAACGCAGCGTTGTGTTTCTGGGGCMCACGTGCATCCCTTGCCTGGTAGTTTAGGTCTGAGTATACTCTTTATTTGGCAGTAAACACTTTGTTTCTACAGGGCTACACACTCTAATACTTCCCTTCCCATCGTGGCATCAGTCCAGGGCTGTGCTGGAGTCCCACGAGGAGAGCTAATAGGACGTGTTCCCTGGCCAGCCTCCAGCTCATCTGTTTGCTCTTTTCCCCARCCCTCCATTGCCTGCAGTATGTTACAGCACCCAAGCTATTATTTAAACTTTTATCCACACCAAGTCACGGTTTGTCTAGGGCAATGAAGGAACTAAAGCACCACCCATAACCGAACTAAACATCAACAACGGTGAAGTAACAGAAAAGTCCCTTTGCTTTTGACACGTGTTTGGCTCTATCCAAGAGGTTCTGATGGGTAGAGAGAGGCAGGCACCTCACAGGCACAACTGCAGGCTAGTGAATCTACAACACAGCAGCACCTCTGAGCAGCTTCCCACGTCATGAAAACTCAAGGTATTCGGCTTCAGAGACACCTTGGGGGAAGCAGCGTGGTGGGGAACAAAGCCTTTCCACAGTCTCATCCACAGGACCTGGAATCACGAGCTCACAGAAACATGTGGGAGAGATGAGAAAATAAAGGAATTTCCAACTGCATTATTTTAAATTGCCTCTCTACTTTCATAGGCACAAAATCCCCGCAGCTTCCCCATGCTGCGCATCTGAATGAGCAGGGGCAGAACAATAGTCATTGAAATAGCCAAATTAATCCTGTTCCAGAATTCTGTCTCTGAAAAACAGAAATGATGGGGGAATATTTAAACAACTGGCTTCCTTAATTTTGTGTTGTTTTTGCATTTCCCACAGCCAACAGCAAGAGTGGCAGTGCTTCATTTTCCAACTGTTTTGTAAAGGAGGAGAACTAGCTTAGCTTCTCCATCAAGGCAAAGCACAGTTCAACAGGGGAACAAATGCAAGCAAGTCATAACTACATTTTTACATTCTAGATGTTGAATCACTGGTAACATGATTTAAAAGCTTGTTTAGACACTGCATCAACAAATTCTGCATAGATTTGCAATTTTTTTCCCCCCTAACTGGCTCTCTCACCTTCTACTTAAAACACCCTAAAACCACAAGATCTTTCCTTCTAAAAGCCCTCTTTCACGGTCTTGGAAGAGAAAGCCCCTTGCAGTGCTCCAAGGGCACGGCTGGTGTGCCCGAGCACGGAGCGGGGCCACGCACCGTGCGGGATGCCCGTGCACCTGGGGGTGCTGCTCCTCGGTGCGTGCCAACAGCCTGGGTTTCGTGCGGGCCCCCATCACGCACCCTGGGACAAGGGAGCTCTTTTTGCCCGCACTGCTCCCAAGGCACTATGGAAGGTTGTAGGACTGTACAGGGAATTTGTTTCTTTAAAAGTGTTTAAAAGAACCAGCCTCTCTGCACTCCTCCTGAGCTCTACAGTTGAGCTGTATCCACGCTGTCTTGTGGCCGATACATCCACAGACTAAGACAGTCAGTCAAAGATGTGTTTTTTTCCTGCTTCTGTTAAGAACAACGTGACTTTTCCCACTTTCAGGATCTGATTAAAAATGGTTTAAGATGACATGATAATAAATGCCCTGGTTTCAAGTAAAAACAAGAGTTTTACCTTCTGGCTAAAAGCAGTTATGAACTGAATACATTTCTCATAGGAAATGAGCCCCCTTTCACACCAGGGAATATATTAAAGCCTAACACCCGCCATCATTCCACCAAAACATCCTTTGGCTGTAGCGCTGGTAYATTTTCAATTTCGAACACTAGACTATAGTCATCTTCCTTTTATCAGTTCATTCGCTCTAAAGACCTATTTGTGCTAGCTATTGAAACAATGTCAGATTTTTGAAATCCTTTCTTGGAAGCTACACTTAAATACAGCAAGCCACTATTTGGGGCTTAGGCAAAAGCTCTGCGAGTACATTTGGAAAATCAGATGTGTTTTTACATCATCGCTAATATTTAAAAAGATCACAGTGCATCCTTTCAGACTTATTCTAGTAACATGAGTTTCATATAGTTTATGTTTCATAATAAAAAACATATCTTGTATATGTGTATATATATGTATATACATATATATATATACACACACACACTCAATATCCTATTGCTAGCACTGAGAATAGCTATTTCTAGTTCTCCATATCCAACATACACAGAACCATTAGGATGTTCTAAGCTAAAAACTCATTTCTGGAATAGAAAAAATGTCCTGAATTTAAGTGGCAACACTCCGGTGCTTTATTTTGTTCTGCTGCAAGAGCCAGGTATTCCGCCTGAAGGGAATGTAGCATCATTTTGCAACTTGCACAGTGTTTTCCATTAAAAAGCAACCTGGCTTTTGTTTTAGCTATTGCCTTTTAGTGAGCCAAGCTTTTCATGCAGGAGCCCAACTGACTCCAGCTTGATATTTTATCTCCTTCTCAACTCCTGCAGCAAGTAAACTAGAAGCATGGCTCTGGTTCACAAAGGCTCCTCCGCTCCCGGCTCCTTCTCCTGCYGTTTCCAACTTGATTTCCCAGTCTCCTAACAGCAAACTGCTCTCATGGACAATTTTATTTGCATAAGAAAACAACAGTTACTTTGTCAGGCTCAGATCTGCCTTGGATATTTTCCCCTTGGAGAGAGAGAGGGTATTTTTCGAGCAGCAGCAATTAGCAAGCTGTGTTGAGCCACCCCTCCCGATTCCCAATTCCCGGCCACGCGCAGTGGAGCGGCGCTGCCAGCCCGGCCTCCAGGCAAGGCCGCTAGCGCCACAGCTCCGATTCGGCCGCRCACGGACGGAACCAGCTGCTTTAGGCGCTAGTGTCGCCCCTGGTTTCTTGCCAGGGCCTTCTCGGGCACGGTGCCTGGGTTCTCCTCGAGGCTGGGCAAGGCAAGACTTTATTCCGCAGGGAAGCACCACTGTTAAGCTAGAAACTGTGTGTGGAGAGGGAAAGCTTAGTGCTAAACTCGCTTACCTTTTCATTCCATGCCCACAATCCAATCCCAAGAAATGCTATGCCAAGGAACTGGAAAAAAAAAAACAGAGAGAAAAGAAATGAGTATGAACCGTGAATTTATGGATGCAAATCCCCTTCCTGCATATGCATTGCCTCAGCTTCTCCATTGGATAATCAATTTTATCAGGAGTTTGGGGGCATGCCTGCTGAGACTTGGACAAAACATCCTTCATTTCACACGCTGTTCATTTCACACCCCAAGCAATAGAGTTGGGGGCAACCTGCTCTGCCCAAACCGCAGGGACCTTCCACACACCAAGCTGGTAATTCTGCCATCAATCCAGCAGCTTTGCTCTACGGGTGGCAGATAACTGCAACAGTTTATTTCACCATTGTACTGCCCGCCACCCACCCAGAACAGCAGTCCTTGCACCCCTCCCTTCTGCGTGCCTGCCTGGGCAAGGCAAAAACAAMAATTAGAAGAAATCACTGAACACATGTTCTCTATTGGTTTTGGCAATGCTGTCCACATGAACAGACAGCTGCTAGCAGCACAACCCAGGTGTTCTGCAGGAGATCTTGGTTTAAAAGAATCAATCAGAAATCAAACGCACAAAGAACATTTTATAACTTTGTTTCTGAATGTCATGAGAGAAGTTACAGTTTCTACTGCTTGTTTTCTCTGCGACTTGGAAATAAGCAACCTCAAAGACCACGTCTCCCCACCACCACGGCACAGGCAGCAGTCTCTGCAATTTTGTTACAGTCCTTGTTTTACCACTGCATTCAAAAGCCTTAAGCACATYGCGCCCCTACACCCCATTCACACACAGAGCCCCAAAGAGCAGCCTGAGCATCTGCTCTCCCAACACTGCACTAACAGTTACAGCTAATGTTTAAAAAGYCACACACATTTTTCATCACCTCTATCCTACTTCAGTAATTTTGAGTTTTAACATAGTGAAAGGCTCCTCCTTTAAAAAAAAGCAACCTAAGCTAGGCACTTCAGGGCTTTGTGAGCCTGACCACATCACTAAGGTCCAGCTCTCCAGCTTTCATTCCTGCTCTTAATTCCTAAGTGCCAGCTGAAAAGCAAGCTCGCTGCAGTCTAGTTTGAGGACATGCACTGCAATGTTGCTTGAACATCAGCCTCTGGTTTTCCTTGCGGTTTCTCCACAGCGCAGTGCCCGGATTCATTTTGGCGCAGCACATTTCTTTTAAGAGCTGTGTAAACAGTTAAGTATCCTAATGATTTTTTTTTTTTGCAAAAGAGGCCAAAAGTGTTTTTGTATGATGAGGTGGGAGGAGGAAGGAATGACAACTTGAAAAGCTTTCCCAGAAATGATTTCAACAGCTTCAAAGCGGGATTCCTACTTCCTTCTACAAACGTAGAGCAGCAATTTTAGCTCATACCACAAGTAGTTCTGCAAATTGTGGCATAATAATAAAAAGTAATCAAATTCTTCATTGGATTAAAAAAATATATATTACCAAATACTTTGGATGCAAATTTCATAGATGAATGATCTGTAGTGAGGAAAAAACCCTACACCACAAAGATTTATCCCGGCTTTCTCAATACCCCCTCAGGCACTGATTCACAGAACCAAGCCAGGAACTCAAGCTCACACGACGGCCACCTCTAACAAATGCAGGCTGAACTGCTTCAGCACGAGGTGCAGGACCTGCATGGGCAAGTCAGGCTGTTGGCCAGAAAGCCCTGGAGGAGCAAAGAAATTGTCCTCCAGGAGGAAGCTCCAACAGAGCAGCCCAAAACACCCCTTGGCTCCCATGCTGGCTGCTTCTGCRACACAAAATCAATCATTGGTGCCTACCAATGCCTAGAACAGCAGTGTTTGAGAAGGRCCAAACACCCAGCACATGTTTGGCTCGATCAAATACGAGATAAAGCCTAGATGAAAGAACAGAACTGCTGGTAAGAAAAGCTGCTATTTCAGCAGCCCTAATGGTCTATATATTATGAGATGGATTTGAAAATACTACCTCCTGTGATACACCAAGTAAGTCAAAAAAGGGTATCTTATCAAGAGTGCTCTTTTTAATGATTTTACAGCTTACCAGAAAAGCATCTGCAATTCTCCTGACTGGAATGACTATCTGAGACTTCATCTTAAGTCACACARGTTTCCAATTGCTGTCAGGTAAACACAGTCAAACCTTTTCAGCAACAGTTTTCCCCCTTTCTCACACAGCCAAAGGCAACAGGAAGAGCAGAACAGGAGTGGGGAGAAAAAGAGCCATATAATTACAAAAATCCATAAATTGCRTATGAAGTGATACATATTTTAAACTTAGAGAGAGATAAGACATTTTGTAACTAGCTTAATATAGTTACCAACAGAATAAGCATGGAAAACTAGAATGAGTATTTGAGCATGTGTACGTATATGTAACTTACAGCCATACACACAAGCTGCAAATCTGTCCCAGATTGTGAGCTAGGGAGCCCACTGAGCTACCCTGCTACAACCAGGCTTAGTCCAGGCTTGCCCCAGCACAGCCTGCTCTGAGGATGAAGCACATAGGAATGCTGTGAGTAAATAATCCCCACTGACAGAGGGGAGCTGCTCCCTGAGAAGCGCATGCTTCCTACCGGGATTAACTCTGGAATTTGCTGGCAATTATGAAAGAAACTTTTGAGGAGCCTAAAACAGTAGAGAGCACTTTGCAGCCATCTCCCTGCCCTGCTCGCTTGCAATCCCACGGCTGTTTCCATCAAAGCCTGTTCTGCTTCCTTACAGCCAGGACCCTTTGCAGCCTAAGCATGAGGGGAGAGAAGATRCATACACATCTTCTCAATTAAATCCCCCTAATTTCATTTAAATCCATTCAATTATTCCAAGGAGTATTAGAAAGGTGGAAGTTTGCCTCATTATCTACAAAGCACTTCAGGGGAACAGAGACTCCATTCTTCACAGGCATCTAATAAGACAGTTCAGCCTGACTATATAGTTGGATATAGTTGGTCACTGATTTTTTTTTTTTTTTTTTTTTATTAACTATAGGGTGTAGAAAAATATTTCAACCTTTTTCTAGAGCACTGCAGCAGCACAAAGTACATGCAAAATAGTATTTGCTCAACCATAGGTTTTTCCGCCCTTAAACAAATAAGTATTCAATTTTTTCTTCTGTAGAAACCATATGTATTATTTAAGAATAGAATGTGCAATAATACTTCCTTGTAAGGTTTACATGCAGTTTGCAGCCAGAAATTGATGGAGAAGTGCTTCAAGCTGCACATAGCCTATTCCCAGTCTTGCTTCCAACATGGAAAAGGGTTCTTTGCTGCCAGGGATCTGTCATTATACAGCACAGTGTTTCATGCGAAAGGTGGCGGGGCAAACAGCAATGCAAATATTAGCTACAGTTTGAGACAGATCAGTTTAACCATAGAGTGATCAGATGTCACTTCACATACTGTATTTTTCAATCCAGCTCAAATTAAGTAACTCGACCCCAGTTTTCAGGCAAGAGAACAGCTGCAGCCAAGCAGCAAAAGGTTGCTTCATCCCTTAACCTACCAGGTGCATAAGGCAGCGTATGCCCATGGGTGACCGCAGGGTTAAATAAGGGGTTATGTGAGAAGGAATGATAGTACAAGCTGCTTAACTTGCACCTTCACTGCACCACTATGAATGCACCGTACCAGAAACATGCCAAAAACTGGAAAAATTGAGAAGACGAGTTACGGGGGAGCCATGTGCATGCACAGCATGCAAATTCCCTGTGTGCCTTGGCTTGGGGCTGCTGCAGCAGCTCTGTCCAGCCTTGAGCAAAGCAACTGGGGGGATTAGGACAGCAAGCTTCRCCCTTCCTCCTTCACAACATCCCGCGGGTTGCTCCCAGCACAAGATTCCCTTGTGCCTAACTTACACCGGTGCGGAGGGAGCGAGTAAGGACAGCATTTCAAGGACAAACACCAGAGAGGAGGACAATACGAGAGGTAACATTTTACCTCCTGACACAGGGTCAGGAAAATGAAGGACTTCTGAGCCTCAGACATATCTAAAACAGCACGGAAAAGGCCCCAGTTGGCCAAACCTCCGCAAGTTCCTCCTCATAAGCAGYTTTTCTGCAGCCAAGTGTGCTCAGATTCACCTATAGATATTTAAAAGGCTCAGAATCAACCACTTAAAGAATTTAATATCAAATGCCAATGCTTATAGAAAACACAATCTCCTCAAGCCCATTATTTACCTGCCTTTGAGCCAGGACGAGCAGAAAACCTTCACGTAGCACGACTGGCAAAGAAAGGTTTGGTTCACAGAGTCAGATACAGATTGAACACAGGCTGAAAGACCTGAAATCTCCTTTCATGTCTAATTTTTAAAGCTAATAAGTGTGCTCCACAGATAGCTGTCTCCTTGATACCATTTTCCCTCCCAATGTAAAATGTACACATCTAGGAAAAAATGCCAATTTTCACGCTATTTTTCCTTTAGTTGAATCAGACATAACTGATTTCACAGTCATCCAAAGTAGAAAAGCAGATCTGAACACAAAAATCTGCCCGTTTAACTTGCAGGACTCTTAGCTTGATGCATGTAAATGAATAAAAATAAGCAAGTATGACCTCAGCTTTTATACAAACACTATTAACCTACTGTTAGCTTCACTAGAAAGAGCTTTTTCATGCTGTTTTACMAGCAAGAGTATATACTTTTTTCAAGGATACAGTCAAGTTGCCATTATTTTGCCTATTGCCTTCTCCATTCTTTTTAATCACAAAAGCAAGACATCTGCTTTCTGTTACAGTTGCTCTTTCTGTTTCTTTTATTGCTTTCTGGTGGTGCAATTGCAAGCACTGCCAARGAGCTTGGAGCAAGAATCTCTAAAGACTCAAGTCCCTCCACAGAAATTGATATACTGGAAAAGAGGAAAAATGAGGATGAATTAGATCCAATTCCTCTGCTCTAGCTTGAATAAATACTCTCCTCAAAGCTCAAGTTTAACTCTGAGTTCACAATATTATACTGTCCAAACTCGAGTCTTTAAAAAAGTCAATTGACTACAAGGCAAATCCCACTCAGAAGAAACATTTCAGAAAATCCTACATGGTCCCTGTTCTCGGTCGCTTTAGTACACTCACATCACAGACCCCTTGCCTTTCTCAYCCACTCTCCTTTATTCACWGAATGGTTGAGGTTGGAAGGGACCTCTAGAGATCATCTAGTCCAACCTCCTGCTCAAGCAGGGACACCTAGAGCATGTGTCTATTTATTGGCCCTGGTTTCGGCACTCTCTTGACCCCTGTTCCTCCAGAGCCCACAAGTCCACRGGGGCAGAGTGAGAACTGCTGCTCCAGGAGCAAATTCCCAACAAAATCCTTCTCCAGGCCTGTTCCCTCCCCAGCCCCACCTCCAGCTCTGGCTCAGCCCCCTCTGCTGCAGCTTCTCTGTCTGAAGTCAGCTTCTATTTTTAAAACATTCACAAATTATGTAAGCAATGCACAAGAACAGCTCTGTCAACTATGGACACAACCACGTGCAGCAGCAGAGCCAAGAATAAGAAATACTGGAAAGCAATTCTGAGCCCAGTAGCATGGGACACGTCGCTGCTCTTCACACTGGCCAGGCTGCTAAGCCAGCTACTCAGCACTGTAACCTGCTAGCCTGGCCTGCAAGTGAGAGACAGCACAAAGGCAAAGAAAGGCCGTTCTGCTTCCAGCACCAYGCTAACGCACCTGGGAGCACTACTGAAGGAATAAATTTGCAGCCTGCGGTGCTGCAGCAGGTTCCCAGCATGGGGGACAGCAAGACCTCCACAGGTTGCTCTTTGGGCACT